TTACTCATTACTTGTGCCACTAAATGTGTTGGAATTTTATGATAAAGTTAATGGTTTGCTGGCTGGGAATAAAAATGTCACTAAAAGTAAAACTATTATTTGTGTGACAAATTGCCCTATTGATAGGTATACCGACCAATATAAGGACAGGCGCACACTATGTTGTTACATAAATATGTACTTGTCTTGCCGTCATGTACGCGCTATACGCTACGCAACGACACGGTTGTATTTGGCGGTGTGATGAAAAACTTTAACCCCCGAATGGTAGATGACATATTAAACGCTAATATATATCTAAATAAACACATTTACAGTAAATATACCTATTATAAAAAGAATTGTACAAAACATAGTTTTAATATAATTAAGAATATAATTTTAGTCCGTGTGGTCACGGATCGTCTGTGTGGAAACGGATTAAGAATACGGAGGGTCACCACCCCTATTCATCCCTTGGGTGTCATAAGAGCCGACTATGGGAGCAAACTACGCCAGATAACAGCACTGAAAAGAGAACGCAAACTTGATACCAACCCGTCTGGCCAGCGATGTATAGTAGGCAAAAACTTCCTTCCTATGGAGAGGCCTATGTCCAGCAGTGAACTAGTAAAGGCTCTTGATGATAATGATGATGATAGTTTTGGTAGTTGTATTATTTCTCTGTCTAAATTAGTGTTGCTGTAAAATAATAAAGATTAATACTCATTACAGAAAAGTGTGTCGTTCGACATAGCTCATTGCTGCTTAGTATGGATATTTAATTACACATTGTCACTTAATAGATTCCATATAATTATCTCTTGGTCTCGGTAGTATTAATTACTGTCACGTTTTTCATAAATGAGTGTTCATTGATGTGATTCGCAAGCCCCGTCGGCTCGTAATAGTAGTCTTAAACCCGAACTAGAAGAACTAGTATTATTTTAAAAAGATAAGCCAATTCAAAATCTATAAAAGAATATAGTGTACAGACAAGCTGCTTTACTTTTAAAACCGCTGCTTTATATCCAGACAAACAAAACTTAATATGCATAAGTATAAAAAAAGTTTGTACATTATAGATCCATATATATATATATATATAAAGATGTATGTATATATAGATATATCCATATATATCCGTACAGTAAAAACATATATCAATACATCTGTTTATTGTTTTACTGGTCCTTAGTTAAGAATTTAAGAAAAAAGAAATAAGTGTACGAAACCGGCAATCCGCACTTATTATACGCAGGCATTTGCAATAAAGTGTTGCCATTTCAATAACAATTTTTACGTTATCTAAAAGTAAAGGTTATTATTAAGGTACGTTATATTTGAAACAAATATTTTTGTGTTCGGATAAATAAAATAGTGTCTATCTTTGAAATTTCACTGTACTCAAAAAGTGTAGAATGAATGAATGAATGCCATAGAATGAGTAGGTAGATGTTTGAAAATGAATTAATACGATAGTTCACCATGTATTAAAAATACTTCATCTTCAATAAACTTCAAAACGCGAAGTTATCAAAGTTTTAGTCTTGGGAGCTCAGATAATGAAAGCAATATGTTTTGTTATTAAGAAAAAAGAAATAAACAGAATATTTTACATGCTGGCGCCAGTAGTCGTTGATCAATTTCAAGGAGAACGAGTTGGGTTTGAGGTGGCACTTACTCGTACTTGTTGTTTTTTTTATTTTTACTAAATAGAGTCATAGTAGCTACCTTTTATTATATACAAAAAGCAATATTTTGACTAATTGTTATTGCTATTACCAGATATTAATTTAATCGTATTTTAGTTTTATATTGATCAGTAATAGTACGTAGTTGACATAATGAATGACGTAGGTTTAAGCGGTCACCTCACCGCTTCCTACTGCGTTGTGTTAAAGGTTCGACCTCCTCACATTAGACAAAACCTTTTGGGATCCACAAATTGTTGTTCTGAGTCTGGGTGTTAAGAAACGGGTTTACTGTAACAAACGCTTAAAAAGTACTTTTATTTAACACTTTCATGTGTTAACAGTATACCTATATCAAAAAAAAACTTATACATTTTAAGCCGAACCCTGTCTGATACATCAAACGAACCAAATAATAATAAGTTAGTTACGAGAAGTATTAATTGACATAGTCATCATACCAAGTCATTTGTTTTTAAATAATTAAACACAATTATCAGTATAAAATTATTTAAAACCGGCAAATTAGTTTTTTAATTGCGTAAAGTTTAAATTTGTTTAAGATCTCTAGCTAAAACATTTAAATTTATCTTCTTTTAATTTACAAATGAAGCCTTTCAGTTACTTGTACAAAATGTTACTCATTACAAAGTTCAACTTGTAAGTTTTTAAATTCATAAAAATTAAGTAAGAATCTGCACTGAAACAAACATGTTTTGTATTCAGTGCCTTATAAGCGTATAGAGTATACAAAATAAATAGCTAAGGAATTGGTCTAGAACCTCATCATCATAGTCCTTTCCTTTTCCCAATTTTATTTAGGATCTATACTAAGTACTATACTATTCCAAAGAGTATTGGCTAGTTTCTTTAATGTATTTATACTGTGGAGCCTACAGAAAAATTAAACAAAATAAGAAGATAAATTCTGATAAGGGAAAAATAATTAGAATGGGAAATGGGAGTAAGACAGCAACAACTCTTTTCTCTACTTTTAGTGATTAACGACCTAATTGACTGATTCTATTGCCGAACGATGTAATTGACGGGCTTGCTAGTGGATGGAAGTGGTGGCGTGGATTCAATTGCCCACCAAGAAAAAATATTGTATGATGATCACGTTTATGTGGTCTGGGTGTAATTTGTTTGTAATTTGTATGTATTTAGAAATATATAAGTATGTTTATAGCGTAACGCTCAAGGCATCACGCGTCCATTGTATGTATGTAGTCAGCAGCAGTCACTGCACTGACTACCGACTGAAAACCGGTTATTCCTCTTCCAGTAATTCTCTATTTAAATTATAACTCCTAACTAATATGAATTTTATTCATGCAAATATAAGTAGGTTTGATTGATTAGGTATGTACTAGGATCTCGCGTCTCAAATATCAACTAGATTTTTCTTTATTAAAGACCCTATGATCCTATCAAGAAAAAATACTATTCCTAAATGCCATTTTCATTAAAAAAATATAAGGAATCTAAAAGATATATAGAAGTCAACAGATTATTTTTTGACTTATTTATTACTGAGATCATTTGTTTAGGTTTATCTAAACTGTTAAATGTGTGCCACGCCCTCAATAAGTTTAACCACGTTACATACTAAAATAAATAAATATTAGGAAAAACATTTTTTTTAACAGAACTATAGTTTTCGTAAAGAGATTGCAAGTCGATAATCGAAATCAAAACTGATCCACTTCCAGTAATTATGTTATATGTTATCTTGGTCCCACCCACTTTATAATGAAATATTTAAAAATATGTGTAAAAACAATGATAGTAATTTTATGCATAAGTATTATACATACTATCTTTTACTTTTTTTTAATTAACTTTAAAATAGTAAGTGGTAAACTGATTATGAAAAGAATGTAAAAAAAGAATACACGCTGAACACACACAAGGGCCGCAGCTGCTCGGAATCTTGTATGCGAAACCAGTTGAGCGTCGACAAATAAATATGTACGGTGAAAGAATAACCGACTACTTAGTTCCTAGATTGATTAATAACCTACCCTCCGAATTGCGAGATATTCTAACGCCAATGAACTTTAAATCTTAAGTTCCACCATTTTAAAAAAATGTAAATTAGTATTAGTAGTTGTATCTATCTAGACTAACGCTTAGCATTCATTATAAACCTTCGTGGCTTAGGAAATGCCATGTATATCAAATTCCTTTTATAATTTTGTTACACTTTCAATTCATAAAAAAATGTTTAGAAAGTTCTCATAAAAATGTCTAAATTAAGGATAAAATAATTAAGTATGTAAGAATATTACAACAGAATTGACATTAAATGACTGTTCAAACCTTATTGTTCGCAGACTATTGCCCTTTTTATTCTATTATTCTGCTTTCAAAATCCTAACATATTTATTTAATAATTAAAAATAATAATATTGTTGGACAACTAGTCTAATTACAGTTAGACCATCACTTTAGGCTAAATGTTTTTGTAAAAAATATTGAGAATTATGCCCTTAATTTATGAAATTAATCTCAGATTTCTACAAGTACGTAGAAATGCTTTTGAAAAATCTATTATAACGCCCACTGGCTGAGTGCAATGCTGGTTGATTTATTGCATCAGGTGAAAGGGGCTTCGACTTGTCTAACTACTCTCTTGCGTCTAATAAATACCAATTAGACAGTACCTTCGTTTCTGTCTTTTCTGTGCATTTGTACATAAAAAGTAAGTTCGCATCTTATTCTTCAAGAAATTGTATACAAATAATGTTTCTACTAAAAATATAATCAGCCTTTGAGATTATCCAAGGATTACATACTTTCGTTCACAATATATATAATTAATATTATTTAACGGGAATTAACGCGATCTCTTATTTAGGGTATTACATACCTCTGGTTTGCCTGACGTTTCGACCAGGTTGCACCGGCCGTGGTCACAGGCATGTAATACCCTAAATAAGAGATCGCGTTAATTCCCGTTAAATAATATTAATTATCATGGAACGCGAAAGTTTAAAAGACAATATATATAGTTATATTTTTTTCGTTCACAATATTAATGTAAGACTATTGTTCCTGTCGAAATTATACTTTATCAATACAGATTCTTCAAAATCTACAATAACAGATGCGTAATATACGTCTAGATAATGACATTATCGTAAAGAATGAAAACTAATTCTAAAAAATTATTGCTACAGTTTACGGCACAATCAATTGCCGTTCATTTCTATAAAATGTATTATTAAACGACGGTAATAGTTGATAGGAGTGCAATAAAAGTTGGAACATCTTACGACTTTTCTTGGAAAGCTGCGATTTTATGTGATTAAATTGCAATGTGCCCTAAGAAATTACCGCCAGCTTGTCTGCCAGCACGGACTGGTTGCGCAGCCTTTGGCCGCCGGAGCGCGATGGAATGCTCCGTTCGTCCACTTCAATAGAAACTTTTTCGCGGATCGATGTAAAAACTACCACTTCTAACGAGTTTCTCGATACCAATGCCAAATTAAGCAACCGGCTGGTCGAGAACGTGCGTTTCAGTTCCATATTGGAACAATTTTAATGATGCACAGGTATTGTACAGAACACCGCGTACGTCACTGGAATTTTCGTGTTAGGCATTCAACGGGAATTTTAACTGCCGCATTTGATCTGTATTCTGATGTGGCAGAGGAACGGAAATATGAGTACCATATTTAGTGGGACAATGTGTCTTCATTTTTGATGTAGAGTCATTTTAAGTTATATTGCTGTAGAATAAATGATTTGATTCTATTAAATCAGCGGTAAGTTTAACTTGTAAGATATGTTAACAAACTTTTACACAGATAAGAAAATGTATTAAATACTGAAGAAAAGTAGCTTTATAATTTGTCATTGCATTACGGAATAGTACCTGTTTATTAGTCAAAGTAAGTCGGTTATACCTGTGAACCATTATTCATTTCATGTAAAAAGTGTGTCCATTTCAACTTGTATTTATCCTACCTAATGATGAGATTATGAAAGTCCATTGAGTTATTATTTTCTACATTTCTTTTTTAGTCAAAAAAGTTTCTAATGTATTTAATTTCTTAATGAATATGTCTTGACTTAGAGTGAATGAGAAAATAAAAGGAATACTTTAAAACAAATTAAGAAAGTGAAGGTCAGGCGGGAATTGTCGAGGTCTTAACCAAAACTCGGCCAATTTTCTGGTGAGATGCTGTTCTGTCATTCGGTCGTTATATATTGAACATAAACTTTAATAAAACTTTGTAATTTTTAAATAATTAAAAACTCTTATTGTGCCTACAAGGAACAGAAGGGTGGAAAGCACATGAAACAATTTACTCGTTGCTTACAGACTATGATTATGACGATAATATGATATTATGATTTATTTATTTAATTGTGTTTGTCATAATACTTACAAATTACAATGGAAACTTGCAATAGCACTCTCTTGGAAAGTGGATATCAGAGCTGCACGTATTCTATACAGGCTTCCGAGGCGCGACTTAATGCATAGTTAAACTGTCATTACCAATTAGTGTGTCAATAGAAGCACTTGATTAACGCAAATGGGTAATTACACCACTTAGACAACCATTACGAGGACCGGAAACATTGTAGAACAGTATTCCGAACAATACTGCATTTTGTACATGCGTAGATTAGTTGATAACTGAACTACGAATTAAGCCTTTTACGCCAAGCCATTACTGCCTTTTTTCAATACTTATATTAGAAAACATTATTCATAACAGTCGAGCTACAAAGAATATGTTAAATCAATACAAATAAAATTACTTGCCATGACTGATTTATCAACGCAGAGCCTACACTGGTGCGATGGGGCTACAAACTTTAAATGCAGTTGACGCTTTTTATTAACCGACTTCAAAAAAGGAGGAGAAATCTTTTTATAGTAAGCACCCACTAAGAAATAATTTTTGACAATTTCACCTTTAAGTCGGTAAAATAAGGTATGAACGGTTGTATGGAAGTTCCTCATTTCCAAAGTTAGAAACACGAAATAAGAAATAATCACGCGAGCGCAGCCCTGGCAAAAGGTAGTTTCAAATCATGAATTGCAAGCTAGATTTATACAGTTTTGATTGTAACATATACATACACATATGAAACTCAAAAATCTGAAACGGTCAAACATATTTGGAATAATAATAATTGATAAAAAACGACGTGGAGGTCTATGGTCTCCCGCTCGGAACGAAGTCCCTTTCGCTTTTCTGTACAGGTTTGCTATAAGTACAGTCATTATAATTTATATCATAAAATATCAAGATAATAAAGTTAAATTGAAGAATTTATGATAAAATATATTTATTATGTATAAAATAAATAATGACAAATTAAATACTGAATGATCTGGGATAATTAAGTAAATAACAAATAAAAATTTAGAAAAAGTTCAGAACTATAGTAAGAATTGTCGGAAAAAACTCTTGGTAGACATTTTTCGGTCTCTCTCCCATTCGCTCAGAGCGTGTAACGCGCGATAAGGAACTTCGTTCCAATAATAATATATCACACACGACCGTCTAATCCCAAACTAGGCAGAACCTGTGCTATGGTAACCACACATACTGCTGTGATATGATAAACATACTTATATATTTTTAAATACATACATATTATAGATAAATTACACCCAGTCACAGAATAAATAACAGAATAAAATCTATTTAGTTAATATTAGATTTAGGCGGCTAAATCTAGAAAGCTCTGTATAAGCATTTTGGGTTGGGCCTCGACCACCGAAAACATTGACCTGCTTGCTACCTAAATACATTGGTTTATAATTCCTACGCTCCCAGCTCAGTCACGGGTCGTTGCATCTGTTCACGATGACTAACAGATTTACCACTTAGTACCAACAATTTACTCTTCATTTAATACCGAAGGCTATTGTACGTTTTTAATTATTTATGAATGGTAAATATCTCGTGGTTCTGTTAGAAATAAGTATAAACAAGATTCATATTTCAGTTGCATCGTTTCTCCTTTGAGTGGTTCTGAGTGTTCCTTCCTCCTCACGCACGCGACTAAAATGAAGTAACTAATTTCAAAAATGTTGCTTGTTTAAATTATATTCCAACCTATGTTTTGAAAACTATATATGTTGTCTTACGTTTAGAGATAAACCCCGATTATTGTGTCAACATTTTATTATTTAATGAATGAAAAATATCTGAATAACTGAAAATCGAAACGCGAATTACACCTACAATACAATTTATCGATTAGGCGGGTTCACACAGAACGAGTAGCCTCGGCATTTGGAGACTCGGTATCATCGTGAGGCTGCTGCGCGCGGCAAACCCTAGCCATTTGTTCGTTCATTCAGTTGAGAGTTAAGACATCATGGCAAAAACAATATCTCTTTCGCATTTCAAAACAATCTATATCAAAGATTGAGATGCTCGAGCGAGGCACGAAACTAAACCACACGTGCGTCCAGGAGTGCGCGCGGCCAACGGCCGAGGCGCCGTTAACCAAAACAAAAAACCGATATTCGGTGGCCCGGCCCACGGAAAAAGGAATTTGTTCTGTGAACTTCTGTGGCTAGGCCGATCGATCGCTCGCCATAGGCTGAGCAGCTATACGCGTGGCAAATGCCTCGCGAGGCTGCTCGTTCTGTGTGGACCCGCTAATTAATTGAACTGGCTCACGATTCGTTAGCGCCGTCAACTGTACCACCCTCTATTCCATTCTCAACTCACCCATTTCCCCTTCCTACCTTATATCCTAATTCCAATTTTTATGTTCCAATCACAGCAGAACCTTCCGTTCCTCAAACAATTCACTTCTGTTATGCACCACTCATACTTCCGTTTTTTTTTCTCCGTTTTTTTTTTGTTTTAATTAGACAACTCTCGCATTAGGAATATATCCTGTGTCGCGGGGGACTTTACAAACATACATGAAACGGACACAAAGAACACCCAGACTCAGAACAACAATTTGTGAATCACACAAAGTGTCGTCCCATGTGGGGTTTGAACCCACAGCATTCAAAATCGGTAATAATATTTCCATTATGTACATTGAACTAATTGCTATATTGGAGGCATTAGTGTATATTAAATCCATAGACTACAAAAACTTTGTAATTTTGACTGACTCAAAGAGTTCCCTACAACATGTGGCTCGTATTACCTCTTCTTTAAGAGGGTCACCGATCGCCTACAAAATCCTTAAATTATTATTGGAATTAAAATCTAACTCTAAAGAAGTCATCTTGCAATGGATCCCTTCTCATATTGGCTTGGTGGGAAATGAAACAGTCGACAGAATAGCGAAAGAAGCTTCAAGCGATGGCGAACCTTTACATGTTTTACCAGTATTCTCTGATTGCATTTATTTAATTAAAGTTTATTGTCATGAGTTGTGGAAGGTACACTTCGATAAGAGATCTGTTGACAAGGGGATATGGTATAGGACACTTCAAAGTGAACCTTGGGATAAACCATGGTTCGGTAATTGTACATTGGGACGTGATGTCTTAACCACGGCTTTTAGACTTCGATCTGGGCATATTCCACTTAATAAGTTTGCATTTCTAATGAAGAAAGTTCGGTCTCCTCTATGTACAGAGTGTGGAATTGTGGAAGATGTTTTACATATTGTACTGGAATGTGTTCGGAACGAGGACATTAGGTATAGTGTAATGTTACACGATATTACCAATTTAAGAGAAGTAGGCAGATGCAATTGTATTCTATCATATCCGCTATCTACAGCAGCCACACTACTATATCAAATTGTTAACATAGGTTTGCGAAGACGATCCTATGTTGATAACCTTATGTAGACTTATATATTATTTAGATTAGAAACTATGTAAAATATGTTAGTGAATTGGCCCAATGGAGTGGCATTATCCTGTTGGATAAAACTCCTTAAATAAAGATTGAAAAAAAAAAACCCACAGCACTCGGCATATTAGGAAGCGGCGTGGCGACCGCTTAAACCACTACGCCATCCGTGCACAATCTCGACAATCTAATGTTTTATATATTGTAATGTATGTATATAAATGTAAGTATGTAACTCTGCAAGTATACATGTATGTGTATCTCAGTATGTATATCTGTCACACTGTTTCTGTCCATATCCTTAATTATTATTATCTCGTTACCCAAAAAACTTAATTTCTAGTGCACCTACTCAGACATTTCCCCACCACCCAAAGATAGACTAAGAGAAAATAGACTAATAAATAATTATGACTATTAAATATCGAAGTCAATGGATAGGCAAACTCGCACTCCACTGCAATATAATAAACGTTTGAATGTAATGTCGATATATTCTTACAGTTCACGGTCGATAAATCTATGGTCCGTTGGGCTGGGCACTAATCAAATCGAGATCAACCGAGCATTGTGACAGAATGACGTCAGACATTCAACCTGCAGTATTTACTGTCAGCGGTTAATTTCACTTCTCAGGCGAGATTGCGCTTGTTTGACTTATAATATCCGCACCGCACAATATAGCGTGGGATATGACGACAATGCTCTACCGCCGTGTCCATCGGT